TCTTCCTCCCTCAGACCAGGAGCCAGACCCCTCCTCCCTCAGACCCAGGAGTCCAGGCCTCCCAGCCTCCTCCTCCCTCAGGCCCGGGAGGCCAGGCCCCAGCCCCTCCTCCCTCTGACCCAGGAGTCTAGGCCCCCTGCCCCTCCTCCCTCAGCCTCCTCCTCCCTCGGACCAGGGGTCCAGGCCCCAGCCCCTCCTCCCTCGCTCCCGGAGTCCAGGCCCTCTAGCCTCTTCCCCCCTCAGACCCGGAAGTCCTGCTGCCTGCCCCTCACCTGTCTCCTTCACTCGTTCCACCACGATGATGGTGTTGACGCTCTCACCTCCACTGCGCTGCTGGGAGGCCCGCAGAGTGGCAGAGGCCAGCTGATTGGGGGGCCCTGGAAGAGCAGGAGGGCCTGCAATCCGGACTGAGGAAGCAGGGGTGTCAGGATCCTTAGGGCTAGAGTTCTGGGGAGCCCTCAGCTCAGTGGTTCCTGGAGAGTCTGAGACCAGCAATTCAGGGGAAGCAGCCTGGGTAGTTGCAAGGGTTTCTGGTTTGGGATTCGGGGGCAGCTCATTTAGGGCAGTAGCTTCATCCTTGAAGGGTGCAGGCGTTTCTGGGTAAAGACTAGCGGAGGTTTCAGGGTCAGAGGTCATGGAAACATCTGTTGCACTTTGGTAGTGGGTTGTGGGAAATTCTGTTTGGGAAATTTCAGTCCGGATGGGGTCGTGGGTCACGTGGGATTCTGGGTGGGAGGTCTCAGTAGGGTCAGGATGGAGGGTCTGGGGAAATTCAGAATTTGGGGTCTCTGTGATGTCAGGGTCATGGGTTTCTGGAGATTTGGGGTCAAGGGTCTTGGTGGGGTCAGGATTTGGGGTCTTGGAGATTGCTGCATGTGAGATTTCAGTGGCATTAAGTTTGGGACTCTCTGGGGATTCTTGATGTGTAGTTTGCATAGGGTTAGTGTTTGGGGTCTCAGGAAATTCTGGGTGTGAAGTTTTAGAGGGATTAGGGTTGGGGGCCTCAGAAGGCTCTGGGTGAGTTTTTTTGGAGGCGTTAGTTTTGGGGGTGTCCAGGGATTCTGATATTGAGGTTGTGAGTGGGTCAGCCTTGGGGGTTCCAGGAGACTCTGGGTGTGGGGTGTCTTGGAGGTCAGGATTGGGGGTCTCGGTGAAGTCAAGGAGGGAGGCCTCGAGGGAAATTGCATGAGGTTTCTTTGAGGGCTCAGGATAAACATTCCCAGGGAATTCCGGGTTAGGCTGATCTCCAGTGGAATTTTCAAAAGCAGGATGTAAGATTTCAGAGGGGTGGCCCATTCCCGGAAAGTCGGAGGCCAAAGGCAGAGGGGCTGAGGGGGCAGCCTTGGATCCCAGTCCAGCGAGGAGGAAGAGGATCAGGTTGAATGACTTCATAGCTCTTCCTACAGCTGTGGGGTTGGGGAGGAGCGAGAGCCAAGAGGTTAAGGCCGAAGGCTCCTTGGAGCACCCACCCACTACAGGAGGCCACGCCCACCGGCCGCAGGTGGCCCGCTCCAGGGGCCCAGCTTGGCTCCAGGGGAAGGCAGGTAAGCCAACTGCAACTCCCAGAGGCTGTGGGCCATAGTAGTGGGTAGCCAGGGGAGACTGAGGCGTGGCTTCTGGGGAGACTTAACTGTTTCACGGAGAAGTCCTAGAAAAATTGGGAAAGAGGCCACCTCTTCAGGCCCCCAGACCTCCTCAGCCTCGTCTTTGGGGGGTGTCAGACCTCCGAGGGGACATGGGATCACCTTCCTCTCCGAGGCCCCCGGGACACCTTGACTCAACAGTTGTTTACACTAGAGGAGGCTCAGAAGGGAAGGCTGGGGCTGGATTCCTGGATTCGAAGGAGGAGGAAGACTCAGGCTTGGGCAAGAAGGTTGCTGGGGGTTCAGTTTTCCAGGCCTCACCGGGTGAGGGGGCTGAGGGTCTAAGTTCCCGGTTCCTTAGAGAGGAGAAGCCTGGAAGTTCAGATGCCTCGAATTTTTATTTTTTCCTTTGTTTTATTTTAAATAGAGACATGTTCACCCTATATTGTTCAGACTGGCCTCAAACTCCTGGCCTCAAGTGATCCTCCCATTTCCACCTCCCAAAGTGTTGGGATTACAGGCATGAGACACTGCCCTTGGCCTCAATGACTAGAATTTTGAGGGGGCAAGGCTTGGCGGGTGCTGGATTACAGGGGGGAAAGGAGACGGGAGTCTTGAGCTCTTGAGTTTCAGTTAGAAGGGGATTGGAAGCCCTGAGTCCTCCAGAAATAGGGGCCTGGGGGTCTGACCTTCTCAGTCTGGGGGGAGGGGGCAGAGGAGAGAGCCATAGGCAGAACTGTCAGGTCTCTCTGTTTAATGAAGATGGAGCTAGGATTCCAGCATCCCAGGGGGCTAGTCTGGGCAGAGATGCATAGGTCTGTGGTCAGATGGAGGTGGACATGACAGACACTTTGATGGGGCAGGAATGCTTGGAGTCCTGGGGTCTCTTACCTGCTCAGTGGTGTCCAAGATGACAGCAGGTGAGCACAGTTGGATGCAGCAAGCAGCAAATGATGCAGAATGTCTCCCTGCGGGTTGTGGGAAGTAGGGTCTCAGGGGCACACAGGTGATGCACCTGACTCCCTCCCAGGGGATGCTGGGAGCCTAGCGACAGGCTTAGGTTCTTAAAGGGACAGACATAAAGGGCATTGTCTCTGGGGGTAGGGAAGAGAGTTAGGGGCTGGATGATCTAGTGGAGGGAGGTGGCCCAAACTGTCTTCCCCTTGAAATCAGGGGTCCTGGGCCGGGCACTGTGACTCATGCCTATAATCCCAGCACTTTGGGGGGCCGAGGCGAGAGAATTGCCTGAGCCCAGGGTTTTGAGACCAGCCTGGGCAACTTGGTGAGACCTCATCTCTTCAATAAATAAATAAATAAAATTAGCTGGGCACGGTGGCACATGCCTGTAGGTCCAGCTGGTTGGAAGGTTGAGGTGGAAGAATTGCCTGAGTCCAGCAGGTCGAGGCTGCGGTGGCC